CTCTCTCTGGAACAGGACAGCGAGCTGGTTTGTCCCAGCCTACTACAACTGGGCGAAGTAAGTAGCGGCTAACTGACTCAGCGCGCCCTGTGCGGCTCTTTTCCTTTTGTGTGTACGTAGCAAGGAGAGACAGCCTCATTCTTCTCCTATCTCCTTGCCTTTAGATTGTGGACTACGATCCCCTGCACTTCATTCGGTGCCACGCACGGGACAACGATCCCCTGGATTGTTCCACCAAGGTCTGGCGTTGCGCTTTCGAGCCCAATCCACTGGATCCAAAGAACTCCACAACCACCGTAGTCGCTACTTGCGGTGGAGAGTGTGTTTGCCTCATTGACTGTCGCACCGGCAAGGTGATGAAACGCTTTAAGCACATCGGCGAGGTAAGCCTTTCTCCACCTCCTCCCTCTCCCCCATCAGCCCCCCTTTCCCTAGACCGTTTTAAATATTCGCCGTCTCTTCTCTTCCTGTGTAGGAGTTTTACACGGTTGCATGGACTACTGTTGAGATGGCAACTGGTCATCAAACCAACTTGCTCGCAGCCGCCGGAAAGATGCGTGAAATTCGCCTGCTTCACCCCGAACAACTGGTGTGCTACGCTGAAATGCGTGGCCACAAGGACGAAGTGGCCTGCATGCTCTTCCATCCCTATCGACCTACAATCCTCTTCTCGGGTGATTCTAAGGTTGGTTCCTGTTCGCACTTACACTTGCACTGCTGCTGTTGTGGCTACGATGACTCTTATGACTGTCACTTCTATTACCGTCGCATGTAAGTAGTGAGTGTAATCAGGGCGCATCATTTACCAAGCCAGGTCATGGGTCGCTGTAGCTATCGAGAATGTTCACTAACGAGGCCAGTGTGTGTCTTTTGACGGTGTTAAGTTATGCTCTTCGAGAGGGGATCATAGAGTGCTGTCAGTCGCTTTTTCGGGTTTGTGGGAGTAAGTTCAAGCGATGTTTTTATGTACTCCGGGAGAATGTTGTATCTAATGGTCTGTGCTGGTGTACCCAGAGAAGGTCTGACGGCTGTGGTCGTCTGAATGCACACCTGTTCGCCTTTGTTTCAGTGCAAGGCATCTGGAACCGATCGAATGGAAATTTGTGGCCTTGGCGCAGCTGCGTTATAGTGCTAATTGTCAGCCTCACTAAGGCTACTGT